TTGAGACATGAGTCCCATTTCATAATTTCATTTATTGATTTTTACTTTTGTAATTAAAATATATTGTCTATACAACTCAATGATAAGTCGAAAATATCGTCTACACTTTAGTTACTATTATACTAGAGGTTACTATCACTACATTCGAAATAACAAAGTGAAATGTAGTACAAAAAAATTGTGTTTTTTCGAATGATTTGCATTAGTTCTGCATTGTTCATTACGGTGGAAAAAAAAAATTATATCTTAGGACGGTATAAATTAAATTTCAATTAATTTACTACTACCTTGCCTGGTTAACTAGTTAACTAGTTAGTAGCCGCTTGTAAGCCTTGGTAAAGAGAGAAGGTTGGGCATAGGGCTAGCAACCCTACCCCGTAAAACCAATTCAATCGCTAAAGGAACTTCAAAGCATAGACTACATATATGTACTTTTATAAATATATCGAGCGGACGTGAAGATTTGAAAAGTGAATCCTACAATATTATTCAGGTTTCTGGATGAATCAATTGATTTACACTTAGTTTTGATGATACATTGAACCATTAAGGACTTAGTGGTCCCTTCTCAGTTTTGGTACTGAACAATGTGAACTTATGAACATGATTATAGTCACTTTTGCAACATCTAGGTTCATAGGTGACATCAACTCTCCATGAAAACTTGATTCCAATTAATACTGAGGTATTATTAAATGGTGGAATAAGATTTAAGTCAAACTACTTATGAGTAGTTAGAATCCACCAAAGAAATTCAACTACTACAATTTGTTCAATTACATTTTAAGGTTGTTCATTTATTTTAGTTTATAGTTTCCTGCCTCTTCTTCTATCAACAATAACCAGTAAGGTGGACTATTTTTTTGACCTAAGACAAACAATGAACTCGTCACCTTCTTCCTTTGTCTGAGGATCTTGGAAACGTTTTAACTACTACTGCATTTTATATTAGTGCTTGTATTCTTCCGCCGTTGATTGGACCGAATCGATCGATATCTATTAGTATACAGGCTTCTGCATAGACGCCTTGGTTTGAGATTCATGATGAATAATTTATGCTATTCGAATCTACGATGCGCGTTTCCTCCTATTTGGGACTCGTCAGCTGTCTCAATTCGGTGGAGCTTCGTGCAATTGGTCCTGGATTTGAGTTCTAGTCAGAACAGTACTGACTGAGGCACAGATGCACCCAACTGATGAGTGCCAGATAGGAAATAATGTGAATCTTAGATTCCAATGCTAGCTACTATTCATTAGTACTGGATTGTTGTCAGGGATGGAGTTCGATAATCCACTTTCATCTTGTGAATTAGTCAGATATGCTGAATTCTCAGTAAATTCACTGGTGTTCCACATGAAAATCTAACCCACTAACTTTTGTTTTAAATGTCATAATACTACCCACTGGTTATGATCTCTGTTTTATGAGCAACGATTACAAGTCAAAGTATGCACTTCTTAGTCATGACTTAGGTACTGGCTCACTTTATAAAATGCAAGTTACATAAGCCTTAGAAAAGACTGATTTCGAGGGACATACTTAGGCTCTTTTTCGTATAGCGTAGGAAGTGGGCATGTGTATACTCTTGTTCAGATGCTTGAATATCCGCGTACATTTTGTTGAACAGCTACAAAGCATTTCTCGGACTAAAAGTGAAGCATCTCTCCTACTGAATAACAGAAACTAGAGCGACTCACGTCTCATATCGAATCAATGTCAATAGGCTTGTCTTGTAAAGTATACTGACAGACTTCGAATACTGGTTCCATGACCGTTAATGTGTATATTGTTCGTTTATAAGTGAGCTTACCAACGGTGAGCTCAATTTCTCCGAGTGCATCAATGAATTACTCAGCTGAAAATGAACAAAACAGTAGTCCGATCTACCTACTGAAATCTACAGATCAGTGTAAATAGTTTCTACAGACTACTTAAGTAGTTCAGTAGTATATTTGAACCGAAACATTTTTTCTATGTGATAGCATATGGCGTCAATCAAATGAATACTTATCATTCAGTTGTTCTTGTGTTATATTTGAGAACGGCTAGCGAAATGAGTGCATTTACTTGGTGAATTAGGTTTCAATGTCTATGAGTTACTATAGAAAAAAAACCCTTTTCTGCTTCACATATTTTTTCATGGTTGAATTTTACAATTTCCAATTTGTTTTCAAATTCACATTCACTAGTGGTTGCAAATAATAATAATAATAAACCACCTTATCGAATAGTATATACAAAGAAAGAGAAATTATGTCATTGAAAATAGGTTAGACAAAATTTCACTTTGTTTTATTTTGTTATTTTGGAAAACGTATCTCATCTCATTTTTCAGCAACCTGAAACAATGTCGTTTTGACTTATTTGAGTAAATGAAACTTCGAAAGAAAGTATGTTGTTACCAGCACGCATACATTCAATAGAACAAGGATTCCTATATATATATATACCGTTTTGAGCCATGTTTACAGAAAACAGACAAAATAAACATATAAATCAACAACAGTTAACTGTGGAAAAAGCATTTTAGAGTTGTTTCTGTATTCATCTACCTCTGTCTGTCTTTATCACTTAGATATACATTGATTTGAACAGTGATATGCTTAAGGTTTATTTTCTATTATGGTAGTAGATTGAAATTAAACACCTGTATGAACCACTTTAATACATGGATTTACTCAAATAAGCTCATGAATTAGTAGAAAAGTTGACAATAATCTTTGTATAAAGGCATGTTTTTTATTGCAGTTTTCTCAAATGTCAAAGTTTTGTTTAGATTAACACTGAGGTCATCAGAGAAGGTAAAATTTCAAGCTTAATCATACTCTAGAATTGAGTCTTTTAAACTGGAACATAAACATATATATACCAGACACAATTACGTCACCTTTATGTTACTTAAAATGTTTATTCTTTCTACATTTCATTTATGATTACTCATGATTGTTACAACAAAATGATTAATGAGAAATTTGTTGTTGATATTTGAACACTTAAACAGCGTCTGGGCGTGATCAGTGTTCATTTAAAAAAAAACAAATTTGATAGTTGAATGGCGGGAAGTTAGAGTAAGGCTGAAAGTAAAGGAAAATGAAGCACAGAAATCTGATTGGTCAGTCATAGATAACTACATTCATGTTCATTTTTTCAAGACAGTTCATTGTGACAACTATTACTTTACAATACAACTAATTGGATTAATTTCCATAGTTGATGAACTTTAATTTCTTGCATATTATAATCCAGTACCATCGATATGTATCTGTATGTATTTCTGCGGATAAACTGTGAATCAAAGACAATGAGTGAATCTTAGCCAACTGAATCCAGCATAAGTTTACGACTAAACTAACTAATCACTTCTGCATTGGTTTACAGAGAATCCACTTACTTCTTTTGTATCAGGTGATATGAACACATGGATTGTGGCAGGATACATCAAGTGTACTATGACATTCAGCTGCTGATCAAGTTTTAGCTTCGATCCACTTCTCGAGGATTCTTTCCAGTCGCCTTATGGATCCGTGATATACCAATATTCGTTTATCGTTCTCACACTAGTTTTCAAATCAAGTCTTCTCGTCCCAATCTGAATTAAGCCTAACTAAAGAGAAGAAACGTCGTGTAGTTTATTGACGAGACTACTTGACAAATAAACGTTATTAATATAGTGTGATGACTGAAAGTAAAGTGGAAACTATGATCGAACAAAGATGAGACCCCTGAGACCTCTAATTTGAAACCTGCTGGCCAAGTCTTGTGCAATAGCATCAATTTGTTGATGAAAAGTATTTCATATTTCTCATTGTTGATATACAAATACCAATTCATCAGTCTTTGTGGGTACTTGTTCTTGTCACTTACGAAAACACATAAACAAGAACCGATTACGGATGGTGTGGAAGTATTCTTAAATCCAGTCTTTAAGCTAGGAGAAAATGATCAACCCAATCTTGCCTTTAAACAACAGGGAATATTAAATTCTGTGACTGACAAAATAAAAATAGCAAATAATCCGTGATGATGATGATGATGACAGGTACTACGAACCAAAGAAAGATGACAATCACGGCAACATTCTAAGTTCTGTATAAAACGCCTTGGTACATGCAAATAAGGCTTGGTTAGGAGATTTACGAAAACCTTTGTCAGGCAAAGATGATTAGTTAACACTACTTTCTAAGGGAACTGGTGTTCCTTCAGTAGTTCAAACGTGCCTCACTCAGCGCTTAATTCAGAGAGTTAACCACAAAGCTATTCAGAGCAATGCAGACTCCTTCTAGGACTGGATTATGTAACTGTATAATCCTTAATGTTTCGTACTCATCGGAAGTCAGTCGATCAAGTCCAAAGTATTTAGTAACGAGATATTTGTCGACAGATAAAAGCTCTATAATTTATTCATGGACTGCAGCCTGAAGTTCCTCACATTAGACTGACAAAAGTACTATCTACATAGTTATCCTTCTTTTTTCTCACTTGATATAAAGAATTGGAAAAACCGGTAGTTTTCAAGCTTACTAGTGATCATCTGTCCAATTTTTACAATGAGGTAACAATCTTATTTTTAACTAAACTGTTTCAGGGGAAATCAGATGCACATCACGAATTCTACTACCTTTCAGTTTCCTATGTTACTTCAGAAAGATTTCTCAACCTCTTAAAATGGTGGTTTATACAAGTTAACTCAAATAATTAAATTACTACGGATGTGTTGATCAAGCGGTCAGGTATAAATTGGCGAAATTATCGTCCAATGTTATCAATATCTCAAGACAGCTAGAAATTAATGATCCTGACTGGTCCGCCGAGTTTGCAACTGTTTACGTTAGTCGGTGGAATATATCGTATCACCAGCAACCTTACGAAGATAATATTTCTTACTTCTACTAAGATTAATGTTAGTAAAAACTATATTTCCTCTTAACGATTTTAATACGATCCACCCTTGTAGGACTATTTCACCAGGTGATAACCTTTATCTTTCTTTTCTTTTCAGTTACTTATGGTTTGGACATAAGTGGAAGTATGCTGAATAGAAGACAGAGACAGTCACTGTATGACTCAGATGCATATGCAATAGATTCTAAACCAGAGTTGAAAGCAAGTCATGGTCCCAATTTTACGCAAATTACATGTCGCGTTAATCGACCCAAGCCAAATGCTGAAATTTATCTAACATGTCCTGCTTTAGGCGAAAATAAAATACTCGGAAATTGTTATCAAGGATGTCAACCAACTAATCCCTGCTTACATTCAACACAACAACAATTTGGATGTGTACCACATGATCAAACAGTGTTTTGCCAAAAAATGGAATTCCCTAATGGAAGTATTCTACTGAATCTGAAAGTGGACCGAACTGATAAGCGGTTGACTGGTTTGTGGTCATGTACACATGCTGGTCTAGAGAGTACAAAGTTTGAGGTGAGTCCATATATGATTATTAAACCCTATTACGTTATTCAATTTTTCTTACCAAACAAATTACATTAGCTGATAAACACAAGTGTATCACTTACTTACTGTTACCTCACTAGGTCAAATATGGAACACTTCAGACTGCGAACTGCTCAATGTAAATTGTTGTATTTTACTTGAAAGTGACAAACAGTGTAGTACACTGTGTGCTTCTGCTCCTTTGTGAAACTCCACAGTTGGATACACCTGCATTCCGAGACACAAGTCCAGAACTCACCTCTGGAAACCTCAGTAGTCTAATGGATCTCTCTGGGATTCAGGCAAAATCAGCTGAAGAGATTCAAGCACCACGAAATGCGTACCCAATGTTTGGTACTGTATCAAAAAATCGTGGGTCAAAACCGAGGCACCTGGCCAAGGAACCCGTATACTAGATGAAACCGGTCAATTTAACCAGTATATCAAACAGTGAGAAATAACAAGCACCAATAATCGTCAGTGCATAGCTGACCTAATTATTTAAGAATGCGATTGAAATCTCCTGCTTCAACAAGTAACTCCACAAATATTCTCATGGTTTGTTAAAAATACACCAAATAGGTTGGTAACTTTTACTATGACATAGGCTACCATTCGACCCAGCCTATAATGCATGCCCGATTCAAATGAGAAAATAAGTAAATTTCCATAGAAAACTATATTACTATACAAACGAGTGGTGTTGATTTAGACGAAATATGACAAGAATAGCGAATACATGGTTCTCTATGGGACATAGTGGCTACTTCCTAATTAACTCACATCTAGACTTTAGTTACATATATTTATTCAATAAAATTATCCTGATAATTCTGTTTCACGTTACACAACCCTGTGTCAACAATCTATACTCACTTGGTAAACTATAATTACCCAGGTCGAATAAGAATTTAGCGTTAAAACTTCATCATATTAAGTAGAACAGATTTCAACTCACTATCCAATCCATTCAATTAGTTCAGACTTTATGAATTAAATCAAGTGAAACAAAAATGGGATCAGTAGTTGGACATTGTAGCTGAGTTGGTAGAACATCAAGTTGGGAACCCAGTGGTCACTAGTTAGAATCCAACCGTAGTCGAGAATTTTCACCTGACCTTCAGTCATCACCTAGTATAAATACTAACTAGTTTGCCAAACTACGGCTATCTCAGATAGTCAAGATGATAATCGATATGATGCTCCACTTGTCTAATTCACTAGCATTTGAATTGGGATATGAAGTCGTGACTAGGCAGCCAGTGTGAATACGATCAAGTGGTAGAAACACATCACGAGTTCACATGGTAGTCAATCAAAACACTTCGTATATGAAGTGCAGTAAAAATGCGTTAAGCATTCGGACCTCGTAGCTGGGTTGATAGAGCATCGGGTCGGAAACCCGGTGGTGGCTGGTTAGAATTCGGCCATGTTCGAGATTTTCATCTCACCTTCAATCATCACCCAGTGTAAATACTAGTCTACCAAACTACGGCTACCTCATTCAGATGGTCAAACTATACTAAATATCTTAATATAGATGAATAAATGGGATAATCGTACATCCTCACAGTCTCAAAATATAATGAACTAAAGCTTAAAGTTTTGATTCGAAACATCTAGCTACATTGTCGAAGAATGTGTGTAGTTCAGTTTGGTACAGCAGTTCGCATACAGATCATATTGATAATTTTTAACAGCTGAGTAGCGTTATGAAGTACTTAGTCATAGTGTTCAACTATTTAAGTTGATAGGATTTCGATAAAAACCACAGGTTGTGACTTTTGACGCCTGATTAACACCAATTATTTCAGTCATCTGTTGAATAAAACAAGTCGTTAAATATAACGGTAAGTTTTCTCGATCTGCTTTTAGTAAATTTCATCATTGATATTTCTCATATAAATCTGATTTGCTAAATTAGAGAATTATTCAGCAGACTGGAAGTGTTACTGAACACACTAAAATCTGCATCACAACTGTAAGCTCTTCAGGAACAATGAGAAAATGTTTCACTACAGGTTGACTTGAGAGCTTTCGATACAGTTTTGAAGACAGCTTATACACTTGAATTCTATCAAGTCAGTCTGGTAGACTAGTATTTACACTGGGTGATGATTGAAGGTGAGATGAAAATCTCGAACATGGCCGAATTCTAACCAGCCACCACCGGGTTTCCGACCCGATGCTCTATCAACCCAGCTACGAGGTCCGAATGCTTAACGCATTTTTACTGCACTTCATATACGAAGTGTTTTGATTGACTACCATGTGAACTCGTGATGTGTTTCTACCACTTGATCGTATTCACACTGGCTGCCTAGTCACGACTTCATATCCCAATTCAAATGCTAGTGAATTAGACAAGTGGAGCATCATATCGATTATCATCTTGACTATCTGAGATAGCCGTAGTTTGGCAAACTAGTTAGTATTTATACTAGGTGATGACTGAAGGTCAGGTGAAAATTCTCGACTACGGTTGGATTCTAACTAGTGACCACTGGGTTCCCAACTTGATGTTCTACCAACTCAGCTACAATGTCCAACTACTGATCCCATTTTGTTTCACTTGATTTAATTCATAAAGTCTGAACTAATTGAATGGATTGGATAGTGAGTTGAAATCTGTTCTACTTAATATGATGAAGTTTTAACGCTAAATTCTTATTCGACCTGGGTAATTATAGTTTACCAAGTGAGTATAGATTGTTGACACAGGGTTGTGTAACGTGAAACAGAATTATCAGGATAATTTTATTGAATATATATTTATATATATGCACAGTGTACAATCGAATGAATTAAAAGGAATCTGCAACCTCGCTGAATTACATGTAATATGAAACTGACAGAATGGGTTGATATCACCAATGGTGACCTCATATTTTTAAACTGTTGTATTGCCCCCTAGTTATATAATAGTCACGTTCAGATACCCATTAATTTGAATTGTGTAGTTACTTTCATGTTTATTTGATTTCATCGAAAGTGAAATGAGATCAGCGAGTTGGTTTTTTGTTACTCATCTGTCTGCATATAAATTTGGTGACTGTTTGGGCCATTGTTTTGGAACATGCTGGAAAGAAAACTCTGTTTGTACTCTTCGATTTACAAATACTACAACACTTAAATATCCTACAATTTTCTCATCATTCAGCTTACTGAAATAAACAGAAGTGATAGGTTCTTCTCCACAATTCTATGCATAGGTCTGAAGTAGTCACTGAAGACTCATTTATCATCCAAAGTCTATTGTTTCATTGTAAGTTTGCCTAAATATTCATCTCTAACTGTTCTTCTGTGAATTTCGTACATAATGAAAGCAAGAAAAGGTTTAATCAGTATTCTGTGTAGGAAGTGTAACTTCCAAATTACGAACCTATAGGTGACAAATTCATGCCCATGTTGTCGTTAAATCTGTTTGCTAACAGAAGATACTGCTTGCCACCTTATATTCCTGAAGTCCAACACAAATTTACTGAGAGATGAATGACGTTTGCATGTTTGAGAATATAATTAAAATTGTAGCATCCTTTTCAGTCGGATTAAACCGATGCTTATAACCAAATATCATATGTCTTTACTTAAAAACGAATCTAATTAACAGAAAGGGAAAATGGCATAACGCAGTGGTTATAATTTCCCACTGGTTAATTAATTGAATGAATCGAAACGATAATAAGACTAAGTGATGATAGACAGGCCGAGGGACAGGAAAGCAGGCGGTAACCCAGATAGATAAACAGGCAGGGGACGATGTACAGACACACCAATAGGCAGGTAGACAAACAGATGGATAGACGGACAATTCGACAGACGAGAAAACAGACAGACAGTGATCAGTCGCTTTGTGAACCAGCTTGTTGATATAATGTTCATTGATACTGAACTAATTTCATAGGACAAAACAAGCAATTAGCAATACATTGTTATGAAACAAAAAGCTCACTTTGATCAGAAATAGGAAGGCGAGTTTCATTTCTACGATTTATGAAGTATGTACTTGCATAACCTTACCAATACTACACTCATAAACGACTAGTTGGTTTATTTCTATACACTTTGGAGGGAAAATCAGTTTCTATGATATTACAGTTTTAAATTACTCATGACTGATAACAAACGAGAAACCTAAATGTACAGCTTCCTGTTGCTTACTATGAAACATGTTGATTCCTGACTACAGTGTGTATCTGATACATAGAATTCCATCAGTATTAAATGCAAGACAATAGAACATCAATGACTTAAACACTGACCGACTAATGTATTGCTGTCATATCTGCCTTATCGATTGTTCATGGCTTTGTACCAATAACCTCAGGCAAATATTCTTCGGATTATTGATTTACGAGGATTATCACACTTAATTCATTTTCTTAATGTTACGCATATACTACAACAGTGTTGAAGTGAGCTGTAACTTTCTCAATACTCTTCCTCATCCCTAGAGATCTCTCACCCTATTTCAAAGGGAAGCGTTTTCAATGGAGGTCAATATGGAACACATAAAGAAGCCTGTAATCATCCTTCTTCCTTTCACCACTTAATACCATTTCATATTATACAAGCTTTTGAACAACATGAGCAACTACTAAGTGATCACCTCTTATTTTAGCTACAGTGTTTGAAGTTGTAGTCTGCTGACACTACAGCTTGCTAAAAGAATTTTCGATTATACGAAACATAGACTTCAATTTTGAGATTTTTTTAAAATAACTCATTATATATTCACTTAAGTGGGGAGCGAGAAGAGGGGGATACGCTGGACTGCGGAAAAGAACCTAGAAGATCTGGATTTCGCCGATGACTTGTGCCTGATGTCACATAAACTTGAAGATCTACAGGCGAAAACTAACAAGTTGACAGAAGAGGCAAGGCAGCGAAGACGGGACTTCAAGTGAACATAGAGAAGACAGAGGTGATGAAGATACCCAACCAACAACAACAACAAAGTCCAGTCACCATCAACGGGAGAAACTTAAAGGAAGTAACCTCCTTCACTTATCTAGGAAGCACTGTTTCAACTACAGGCGGGACAGATGAGGATGTCAAAGTCAGAATCGGAAAAGCAAGACAGGCTTTCATTAGCCTGAAACCAGTGTGGAGATCTTCTGCACTCAGCATTCGGAACAAGATACGAATTTTCAACACCAACCCAGTCAAGTCAGTGCTTCTGTATGGTTCAGAGACTTGGTGCGTCACGAAAGGCATTTCCAATAAACTACAGACATTCATCAACAACTGCTTACGCTCGCTACTGAAGATCAGATGGCCAGCATAATAGGAATAAGCAACAAGGAACTCTGGGCATACACTGAGAAGGCCGACTGAGGACATCACGCGTCAGGCCAGTTGCTCGAGTGGAATCCCCATGGGAAGCGACGAGTTGGGCGAGGGTGTCCAAGGGTGACATGCGGGAGGTCGTGCGAGGAGGAAATGAGAGCTTCCGGGATGTCGTGGAGGCAGGTTCAAAAGATCTCAGAGAACAGAGGTCACTGGAGGCGTGCTACTGAAGCCCTATGTTCCACTAGGAACCCAAGGGACTAATAATAATATTCACTTAAAGTTTTGTAAAGACCTACCGTAAAAATTATCCACCTTTCTTTATTTTTCTTAAACTCACAGATAGATCTAAAAAGTTATTCAAATGTGAATGAAATGGCGCCAGAACCGAAACAATCTGCAATACAAGATAAACACGAAGGAGATAAAAGTGAGTCAACAGAAAATAAACCTTGAAGAGCAATGAGTATTACTGGAAAATGTTGGAATAAGAGATTCATTGACTTTAAGATTTTAGGGAAATTTGAAAGTAGTTTTAATTGTACATAGATACTACTTAAGTAGTAGTTCAGAATCATTTATTTTTTCTTAATTTAAAGATTTATAGGGATTTATTGATTTCAAGTTGGTATTCATCATAGGATGAAATTAGATACATAACCATTGAAAGCCTAGAATCACTGGACAGTTGTTTCGCCGCAGTATGAGAGTCAGCAGTGCCCATCCCTGTCTCCACTAGAGATGGAACCTAGGGTCTTGGGGTGAGCAAGTTGCCACTGAGCTATTAAGTTGACACATAATGGTTCACATTTTGCTACTTCTGTCAATTTACGATACAGCCTGAGCATCATCCCACGCCATCCTAAGTACTTGTCTTCATGTATGATTTGGCTTGCCTCATCTGTCACGACTTCTCATCAGAACTTCGGGAATCATCCCTCGAAGCATATCACTAGCTAGCACTTGACAGTAATCAAATTTGGAGGTTGATGAGGAAGTCATGAATGCTGCGGCTAACCAAGTGGGACGTGAGAAAAAATTGCTAACGATGGTATTGGATGAAAGTCGCGCAATAATGTGGAATGACAGAAGTAGGAAAATGCGAATCATTTGGTTCCGATCCAATGGCTCAAACGTAGAGTGCTCACCTTAAAGCCTTAAGTTCTTGGGTTCGATCCATGGATGCGTACAAGAGTGAAACAGCTATCCAGTTATTTTAGGTTTTCAGTGGTTCTTCAACTTATATCAGTCCATGGCGAATATCAATTTTTTTCTTAAGCTTGATTCTTTTCTAAATATTCACTCTTAACAACTGATTTTTGGGATCAGAATCGCAAAAGCTTCATGATGCTCAACTCACCTTTAGCTATACCACATTTTTATATTTACAGCTGTCAGTTACACTCTTATGATGATTGAAGGAAAAGTCACATTTGATTCGAGACGATTACTGTTCCGATAAAAGTAAAGACAGAACACACTATTCATAAAATCTCAGGTAGCTACTTCTGAATTTGTTGGCTATGAAACAGTATGAACTGATCAAATATTTCAGATTAAAATTTTTCACATGAACAAGAAACTTGGAAAAACTATAGCCAACAAAGAATCACTCTAAACATGAGATCATTTGAATTCAAAGTCCCAAATACTAGAATTGAAAACAGTTTTCTGTGAGTCATTTAATCACAGTAAAATTCAATGTTTAAAGTCTCATCTGGTGATAAAAATATAGTTTTCATTGCAAGATACGCTTATTTAGAATGAGCGACTGCTTTGAAAACCTCATTTAAACAGTTTCTTAATTATAAAAAATACTTATGACATTATTAAACTATTACCTATGGATTAAACACGAATAGTTAATCGATATCAGGTTGTCTGGTTTCATAGTGCTCTTTAGGTTTATTAAACTCATTCCAGCAAGTTCCTTATATGTAAACCGATGGTCTGCTTAAGATATCTGGATGCCGGAATTTTTCTACCGAATAGATTTCATCAAATTCTTTCCTTTCAGTTTGTTTTAATCTTTTAAATATGTTTTATTAAACGCGTCAAGTACTCTTTGTACACTTTTAAAGTGGTTTCAAACTGCTGTTTTCAAGCTAACAACAAAACAAAGAATAAATGATACGCCAGTAAGAAATGGGTTCATAAATGCAAAGAAATACAGTACACTACTATTCCTTGGATAACTATGTCAAATTGAAGATTTTGATACTGGCTAAATAAACTACCATTGCCAAAATTAAGCTCGATATTCTACTCATTCACTAGTCCAAACTAGACTATAATGTAATATCAGGTGCCTGTTTCATATTATGGCTTTTGTTACTACTATTATTATTAACATTATTCGAAGGTAATGATTATTTCGCCTAGAGATATTGTACAGGGAATGAATTTGCTGAACTATTGTTTGCTGAGAATTCCATACTGTACCACAATTCCTGTTTAGAATAAAGCTATTATTATTGTTATCATTAACTTAAGAAAAGGAATATTACTAAAATTGTTATGTGCTTATTCATGAACACTATACGTTGATTGGTCACTGGAGAGTAACCAAACTTATGTTGTCGCATTGCACTAGCATGGATGTCAGTTGGATGGAGGCAACAGGCAGGAAGCTCTCCTCTACCTAGATTTCACAATCATAAGTAGGCCTATCTGTAACCTCGACGGAACTGTCTATCCTGAGGTTTAAACCTGAGTTTCGTGAAGTTGAATACCCTCTAGTGATCAATCGGTGTACACAATCCGGTCCTACAGAAAGTCAATTGTGACCTAAATAGCTCAGTGATAACGTCTGCGACAACTGCACCGGGTGAGGAGGGTCCCAGTAGCAGGTGGGTCATCATTTCCGTCAAGGTTGTAGATATGCCTTACAGATGAGTGTCAGACCTACGTCAAGCTGAGTTTTCTGCTGATGGCCTCCGTCCAACTTGCTAGTTGAATGCATTTTATCGTTGTTGCACAAATGTTTGCCAAATTTATTGTGTAGTGGACGATTGTATTCCATTCTTTATTTCTCTTCATATATGTTGATATTTTCAATGAAATTTGAACCCATCTACTATCGCTCCAACCGCTAGAGATGTATGCACTGCACTGCTGTGTCACAAGGAATACCCTAAGTAAATAACATCTCAATGAAACGCAATGTAATACCGAAACATCTATTCAAGAAGCCCATTAGCCTTTATTAAATAATCTGTTAGATCCAATGATGCTAACTACAGTGACCGTATAAATCAATATCACTGATGACACTTCATGATTACTGTGCTCTGTTAAAAGTTAAGAAATCTTAAGCTGTTCTAACCAGTGCAACTCAACTGTACAAATTAGCAGTTAACTACTGTCATAGCTTGTAATTTTCCGCTATTGATTGGTTTAGACTGATCGGCTTCATTCAGCAAATAAACTCCTGCGCGGATGCCATGATATAGCTAATAATGATGTATAGTGGTTAGCAGTGAAATACAGGATTGACATTTTGTCATACTTGTGTCTCATTGGTCGGATTTACCTACATTCCAGTGAATGTTGGTCTTTCCACCTCCTGAAACTTGAACTCAGAACGCCTTGTGTGACAGGCGTAGTTTTGATCTTCTAGCTTGTTATTTCTTATTGTTAATTGAACGGAACTCACCGAACTGACAAGTAGGCGCATATATTTGACGTGTCCCAAAGCGAATGAAACATGTGTTTTGAATTCCGCTGATGCCCACTGTTGATTATTATTAGCAGTTAACCGTAAGGCAAAAAGTTGAAATATTCAGTACCCTGTCTTGGAATGATTCAATGCAGATACTTGTAAAAATCTTCAACTTATGGTGAAATGACTGATTATTCGGCATGCCCTTCTGGTTCATATTGGTGTTGTAGGTGAGGACGTATTCCTGATTATACATTTTCTGTAAATCGTTAGTCAAAGAGAGGGGAGATGATTTTCTTTTATAAGTTTAAGTTATAAGTGTTTTCGATGAAGTATAAACTTTTCAGAGGTGGATTTGGATAGCTATATAACATTATATGTATTCTTCTGTTCATAATTTTTAGGTATTCTGAAAAGTGTTCATTCAGATCGGGTTGCTATGCTCAATGATAGACCATGTAAGTAATTAAATATCGATTAAAAGAAATGTACCTAAAATCTCCCACTGTATATTCTTTGCAGTGTATTAATATAGCCGGTATTTTAATGTACACTGATGAATCATTTTCTCACGCGTTCAATGATTTTCGACAAAAAGCATTTCAGTAGTGTTATGATTTTTCATTAAAACTGTGTGCTTACTATCAGCTAACACCACATTGTTTGACTGTATATACCACTATTAAATTTTATCAGTAAAGCCCGAAGTACTAGTCAATGGAAACAAAATCATAACAGCTTTGTGTTTAACCTTATGCAGATTTCAATCGAGAAGTTTTCTTAGAGGCTGAGGTTTCAGTAACTTAGCTTGTGTTTCAGACTAGTACATATTATTGGAGAGATTTTCAGAAGGAAACAACTTACAATAGTTTCCCTATACCTACCTTAATTGTCACCAGTTAGGAGATTTGATGTCATCGTAGAATGTTTGTTCGCTTAATCATGTGTACTATATTTGTCCATTCATCTCTCATCTGTTACAGTTTTATTCCTGTACATTTGTTGATAAATAAAAAAAAACAGGCTTTCTTAAAGCTCTTGAAACTATTATGGAGTGAGACAACATTCCATAGATTCTTCAGAGAAGCTTGAAATCCCCTGGAAAGCCTTCACAGCCAATCATGACATGCCAAACTTTAGCGAAAAACAATGTAATCATATGTATGAGTCTCAGGTTAGCTAAGGGACTTTCTAGAAGTATGGTGAACATATCAGGGTTATCAAAAAGTCCACATGAGCTGTTACTTTTTGTACAGGTTTGACTTGACAATAAACCATTATTGTTTTTGCCGCTTCTTCCCTATTTTCGTGGAACCAAGTGACCCTCAAGGGTAAGGCCCAAGGTTATTGTTCAAGAGTCCACCTATATGCAAAACTGAGTTCATATCAAATAGCCATTACAAAAATATAACAAGTGACAACCAGGTTCTTAAAAGAAACCTACATTGTTTACATTTTCTTGATCGAATTTTCAGTCTCAGCTTCATTATTGCAGGGATAAAAGACGACATTTTGTGTCGGATAACTAAACATCTTATCCTATCCACATATCACTTTTTGCAGTTGGTATTGTGCATGTCCTTGGTTTAATAAACTGTTCTTCATATCCATCTTAGGTTACATTACTATTGGTAGTCTGTATATTTCATGTATATGTCCAAAATATAGACATTCAGTCAGACTTTAAACAATCTTATATTATGCAACAATTAATTAGTCAATACCCATTTATACTGGGTAATGACTGAAAGTGAAATGAAAATGTGGACCGCAGTAAGATTACAAACAGTCACCTTCGTGGATCTATTTGATAAATAAATCTACGTCATTTACCGAGATTTCCAAATACATCCTCACACCAACTCCTTTAAAAAACCAACTATACCAAGACAGTCTTCATCACTACAGGATTCCACAAACCTTTATCAGTCTCATTCAACAACTATATGAAGACGCTACATGCCAGCCAAGTAATTCACAATAGGAAGCTCAGTGATGCTTTTGAAGTGAAGACAGGAGTAAAACAAGGACTGCATCATGCAACAAACAGTGAGGAATGAGAAGAGGGGGATACGCTGGACTGCGGAAAAGAACCTAGAAGATATGGATTTCGCCAATGATGACTTGTGTCTGCTGTCGCACAAACTTGGTGATCTACAGGCGAAAACTAACAAGTTGACAGAAGATTCAGAACAGCGAAGACGGGACTTGAAGTGAACGTAAAGAAGACACAGGTGATGAAGATAACCAACCAACGCCACCACCAATAACAGCAACAAGCTCCAATCACCATCAACATAAGAAACTTGAAGGAAGTAACCTCATTCACCTATCTAGTCAGGCAGCACTTTTTCAACTACAGGCGTCACGGACGAGGACGTCAAAGCCAGCCAGGATCGGAATAGCAAGACAGGCTTTCATTGGCCTGGAACCAGTGTGGAGATCTTCTGCACTCAGCATGCGGAACAAGATACGGATTTTCAACACCAACGTCAAGTCAGTGCTTCTGTATGGCTTAGATACTTGGCGCGTTACGTAAGGCATTTCCAATAAACTACAGACATTCATCAACAACTGCCTACGCTGGCTCGTTACTGAAGATCGGATGGTCAGAAATAAGAAGCAACAATGAACTCCGGAAACGAATCAACCAACAAATATGCACTGGAAGGAAGTGGAGATGGATTGGAATGGGCATACACTGAGAAGGCCGACTGGGGACATCACGCGTCAGGCCAGGCCGTCGAGTGGAACCCAGATGGGAAACGACGAGTTGGGTGAGGGTGTCCGAGGGTGACATGCAGGAGATCGTGCGAGGAAGAATTGAGAGCTTCTGGGATGTCGTGGAGCCAGGTTCAAAAGGTTTTAGAGAACAGAGTTCACTGCAGACGTGCTACTGAAGCCCTATTTTCCATTAGGAACCCAAGGGACAAATAATAGTAATACCAAGACAGTGTTCTAAAGGATGGAAGAAATATAAACACGAGTCTCGGACAAGCTTTATGTGCCGGATTATTTCACAGACTTTAAAAGATACTTCAATTAAGAAACACTTTATAACATTATTGTATAGTTCAGCTAACAGGTTTTCTATTGACTCTTTACCTATTTTACAGTGGGTGGTTATAGAAAGACTGATAGTTAAAAGATTGCTGTTATCTCATTTTTCGTTCATTTTCAGCTGGTGGCCTATTGGCTTGAGTAATATCGAAAAGCACAGCGTAACTCAGGTAGTAAGGTGAGAAGAAAGCCAGAATCATGTGTTTGGGTCAAGGTTATATTTCAAGTAAATGATATCAAGTCAACTTACTTGTTGCAATCACAAAGTGATGACGAAGATTTTAGATTCATTTTAATGTTGATTTGACAGAGGGTTATTCAGTTTGGAGGAAAATGTTAGAAAGCATAAATCTTCCACTCTTTTAGACAAACAACTAACACATTTATAGTAATGATGGTTAATGGCTAGCATTGGAATCCAGGATCCTCATTTCGTCCTATTTGGAACTCATCAGCTGGATGTACCTGCCTCCCAGTGAGTGATATTGTTCCCACCGCGATTCGAACTGTGAAGCGATCGCTTCAAACGCCAGAGAGATATCCACTACACTACTGAGCCACCATAGCCACTTCTTGTGTGACAGGTATAGTCTTAGTGCTGCTGCTTGTATTCTATCGTCGTTGATTGGACCGAATCAATCAGTCTCCATTGCCATATAGGCTCTTATGTGTATGCGTCGATATTGCCCGTGGCTTAATTATATATATATCTATATATACATTCAAATTGAATTGAGCAGGATTGATGACCACAAGAGTGAGTATGTGGGCAACCTTACTTGATAGTGTCATTTAATTGATTAGGTTTGTATTAGGAAAAAAAGCTAAAAACTGAGAGAAGAAGAAGAATAAATAAACAATCATAATATACCCCGAAAAACCTAAATATTTGGTGATTTTATATTGATCTCGGTAACTAGCAGAGGAATCTAGGATGCGCGTCTTATCTGCGACTTGTCAGCTAGATTTATTTACACCCTAGTGAGTGATTTTGTTCTCATTGAGGTTTGAACCCAATACCCTTCGTTTCAAAAGCCAGACGGTTATTATTAAAGCCACTGAGGCATGACAACCACCTCTTATGCAACGGGTATCAGTTGTTACTATGATACTTGATGATTTTTCTTAAAGTCAGCATATTATTATAAAATTGTACATCCTTATAGACCTTAAAACAGACACATTAGAGAAAGGAATCCAGTTTCTAAAGTATTATATAAGAGAGACAATAAAAAGTGAAGTTAACTTATTACAGTCGAATGTTGTGTGGATTATAATTTCCTGCTAATCAAAAATCATATTTTTTTCTTTCATAAATGACCTCCTTTCTCATCTTGACTGTATTAGAATTTTTATTTTTTTGTTTATTATATTTTACATTTGTCCTGAGCTAGTAGCTTACATGCGTAAACCTGAAATACTATTCACTGTACTGGCAATTTTGGCATTATCCATTCTTATCAACCTTGCATTCTGTATTCGATGCTTACTGTTACGTTCGTACATTGGTAAGTATTCTACACATAATTATTTGTTTGTGAAAATTCACTATGAAATATGTTGTTGTTTGTATTATCCGGTCGTTGGTTGGACTGAATCGGTTCATCTCTATTGACATACGGGCTCCTGCATGGATGACTGTATACTGTTTGCACTTCGAATTTATAGTAATGATGGTTGTTGATAAGCGGTGGATTAGAGTCATAGCGAGCATAACACCACCCATTGGAAGGTAGGTACAAACATCGGACGAGTCCCAAATAGGATGAAACGTGCGCCGCACACTCCACTGCTAGCCACCATCCATTAATAATTATCATAAAATAGATTAAAATTCGATTTCTTTTCAAAATGTTCAGGAATGATCTAGTGGATTTGCGCGAATATACTTGGATTACACACGAACAATTACTATACCCTTTCATCTGCTACTCTTATCATTTTTCGTTTCACTACGACATGAAAATGCAGGAAGACAAAGAATGGCCTGTAACTGCAAGAATGATTTACTGTAGACAAATGCATGATGCATATATATCTTTACTTCAACTTCATCGATTTTGGAAAGGTCTTCGATAACGTCGACCGAGAAGGATTTTGGCAGCTGCTGCTTCAACACTACGGTTTTAGTGCCACGAACCTTCATCAACCTCATTCAACAACTATATGAAGACGCCACATGCTGAGTGATTCACAACGGAAAGCTCAGTGATGCTTTTGAAGTGAAGACAGGAGTAAGACAAGGTTGCCACCTAGTATCACCGATGATATTCCTGGTTGTGGTTGACTTGACTGGATCATGCGATCATGCCAGAAACTGTGAAGAGCGAGAAGAGTGGTATACGCTGTTTGACCGATGAAAAGAGCCTAGAAGATTTGAATTTCGCCGCCGATGATGATTTATGTCTAATGTCTTGTGGCACAAACTCAAAGATGCACGGGTGAAAACCAACAGGTTGGGAGAAGAGGCAGAGCAGGGAAGGGCAGTGAAAACGGGACTTCAAGTGAACATAGAGAAGATACAGGTGATGAAGATACCCAACCAACAACAACAACAACACTAATAACAAGCATCAATCACCATCGATGGGAGAAACCAAAAGGAAGTAGTCTAGTCTAGTCTAGTCTACCTAGGCAGTCAGCATCGTTTCAACTGCAGGTGGGACAATGAGGATGTGAAAGCCAGGGTCGGAAAAATAAGATAGGCTTTCATTAGTGTGAAATCAGTGTGGAGATGTACTGCACTCAGCATAAAGCGTGAACAAGTTCCGGATATTCATCACTAATGTCAGTCAAGTAAGTCAGTGCTTCTATGTGATGGTTGAGAGACTTGGCGCGTTACGAAAAGCATTTCTAACAATCTGCAATCATTCATCAACAGTTGTCACGTACGCTCACTCGATGCTGAAGATCAGACGAGATGGATGGCCAGAAAGAAAAAGCAACAAGGAACTGTGGTCTGGTAACGAAGCAACCAAGAACCTATCGCGCAACAAATATACGGAATAAGTAAGTGGGGATGGATTGGACATACACTGCGAAGACGGTTTGGGGACATCACGCACCATGCCAGGCTCTCAAGTGGAAGTGAGGGGTTGGGTGTCTCAGCTGAGAGTGACATGGAGAAGATTGTGTGAAGAAGAAATGAAAGCTTCTGGGCTGTAGTGGAGCCAGATTGAAAAGACTGCAGAGAACAGAGTGAAATGGTGACGTGCTACTGAAACCTTATGTTTCACTAAGAACCCAAGGGACAAATAATAATAATAAATATATATACGTATACATGTAGTACTTTTATGTTTACAAAAAGGCACTAATAATGAAGCTAACTTCCCCATTTTCATTCATCCGCTGAAACACCAGTCTGTCGTCTAAGAGCATTCGAACCGCGCAGAAGCTCAGATCACAAAAGGTAAACTTGAAACTTTTCACTATAATATTAAGTGGGTTGAAATGTCGGTCTCTTTTATGGTAGCACTTTATCAACTTAGATAACCGTTTGTTAGCCTAATTTGTCTCTATCTACCATTTAGACATGGAATAACCTATACAGGCTTTATTCTCTGAAGAAGTCATTTCAGCAAGGTCATTAAACGTCAGAAATCAATTTTTCTAACTTTAATAGGCAGTCACAAATGTCATGATTGTCATTGGTCACATATACCAGGTTATTATTGATAAAACACCGCCTAGAAAGTTATTTAGTTTGTCAAATTTTTCTGACAACACCAGAAAAAATTAAATATGTCGGCACGAAGTTTTGAACCCATTTGATGACACTTATGAGTATGGTATACGTGTAACCTCGAAGAAGCTCATGATTCGTTGTAGATTGGTAATATACACCATCAGTTGTTGAAATCACAGACTCACCTACTAAACTGCTCAGACTACGACTGATTGGTGTTATAGTGAATAGAGAGTAAACTGAAGAACTATTTTTGGTGTTGACTTCAGGAATTTTGAGGTTTTTTATTGGATAATCTGTCTGTTCAGACTTAGGCGAAGGGTATTAGGTGAGACAGGCAAGTCGACTAATGAGGTTATGAACCTTAGTCGACTGAGATGGCTTGGACATGTCGACCCACAGCTTACCTCCACATATCATTCTACATGAAGTAAAACTAGGTTAGAAGAGGGTTCAGGGTGTCCAGATTAAGACTTGGCACCAGTTCATGAAGTCCCTGGCTGACAGCCTGAACCGTGTGGGGACATGTAGAGTGTCTACATGGAGTCCCTGAGATCTTAGGAATCAGTAGTTTGCAACCTTTGGTGAGATGAATGAAAATCGATCACAAGGGCGCATTTGTGTTTACTCCTTGACATCCTTCTAAAGCTTGAATATTTGCACTCACTGTTACTTTCTGATTGCTTATTCTCTTAGACAACTTTGCCTACTTTGATATCACTCTTTCTGTCCACCTGTTCTTTGTATACTACTTTGAATTGTGGCAATTTGAAGCGACGCGCTTGTGTGCAATGTTCTACTTTGATTTTGTCGATCTATCAATATTTTTCATCCCAAAATGCACCTAAAGATGCATCATCGCACAACACATTTCAGGGTACTGTGATGGTATATAATTCTAATTTCTACTACATAACGTGTATACTGATTATTTGGTAAGTCTTATCATCCTAAACAACGGGAAACTTCACATGAAATACATTTTGCTTAGAGAAATTCCGTTTAATCATACGCTCCCAGAAGTCTTCTATACTACTGAATTCCTTTTCGGGAATGGTTGTTTTTCTACAAGAACATCTTTTGTACTCTGGTAACTGTAGCTGTTACTACAAAAAAAAATCATAATAAACCGACCGAAATATTCAGGGACTGATGAAAATAACTACTGACGCTTGGATCACGCTACGCTAGTGCAATACCAGATCAAAAAGTCAAATTTCCCAAATCTTTCAATTTCTGTCCCCTTAGTCATATGGAATGGAAGTCAAATATATTCCAACTTCCACACTGATCAATAGTTTCAATCATACAACAGTAAGATGTCAATCCACAATAACATTCAACATGATAAGTATAACTCACTTCTTATATGTGAGACTATGGTAGCATTTCAAAAGTAATCCTCTGATCCTTTTCTATTTCAGACAATATTTAGTCTGATACTATGTTGCTGCCATTTAAGATTATTGGATACAAATAAATTCATCAATTTTATTCTGAAGTATAGCTTGATTACTTAGGTATAGAAAATACAAAGGTATTGTAGTTGATATTTCACTTGTGTACATATGTATGGCGTGATTTGATGCAGATTCCTTATAAACCAGTCTAACCAAGTATTTCGTAAAGATGAATTAGTTTCCATCATTCATAATACTTGCAAATTATTGAAATTACTGAAGTAATATGTGAAATCTATCATTCATTATTGTAGTTATGATGAACAGTGATGACATTGCGATGAGACGCTTACATTTATTATTCTTTTATGAATTACACTTAATTAAAGAGAATGTTAGTTGATGTAAGTCAGTCAGTACGAATCTTTGAAAATTATGCCTGTTGGTGTGGATTACATTAAGTAACACTTATGAACTTGAACAATCCTGCAAAAGCTATAGATTGTATATGAATTTTATTGATAAGCACAAGATCGAAATTTATGGCTTCCTGCTGATGAACTGCTGACATCTAATGCCAAAATACAAGATATCTCAATGTAGTGTCACTTAGCTTAGTAGAGACTTCATAGACTTTATCAATAGACTGGTATCAGTACTTGAAACGAAGGACTTGGTGACTTTATCGTGAAACATTGAATGATAGTTTTTGGTTACCATGAATTCTAGAAGTGAATAACGTTATTTTGATTCCAGGTACCTAATATTCATAAGACAAACATTCATCTAAGATTGACATCATTTGGAGAACCATTGAAAACCTGAGAGAACTGGACAGCCATTTTGTTCCAGTATGGGACTCCTCATCTGTACATACACAAGACCTGGCTAAGAACAGAAATCGGGACCTTCAGGTTTTACGGTGAACATGGAGTTCAGTGGTCCATAGTTTCCTACTTATGTCAATTCGATATATAGCACGATATATCATCCCCTTCACACTCGTGAGTACTGCTAATGAGTCTCACGTTAAAACGAAACAACCATTTAGTGCTCTCAAGTCCTTACTGGTTCTACGACTGATATCAGTTTGTGATGAATGATACCTTAAGAATAAAATCCCCATTAACCTCAAAATATGTTCCTTAATATTTACTAAAATACTGTTAACTTGTGATTTGAAGTTTTCACAAGTTTGCAACATACAACCTTCTTAGTATTTACTGAATGTAGTATGTTTTAAAATGTTTTTTTTCAAAATTTTTGATTACCTCTTTCATTTCAGATGCTTCGAATGAAGGGTCGAGTAAAACGGATTGTTTAGCTGCCTGTCTATGTTTACCAGATGAGATTAAAAAAGGATCATTGATAATGACAACACCAGTATTACCACGAGCAAATATAACTTCACATATGAATCATGTAAGAATAAATGGTTCAGATCATGGAGTATTCAATTCATCATACAGTCTGTCTGCAATTCAGAAAGTTCCTTTACTATATAATGGTGCATCATACAAGGATAATCTCAGTCCGGCGTATGTTCCGACAAATTCATTACCGGGTACATTTAGAAAGCATGGAATGCAGAATCTTAGAAATGTTAGCACACCACAACAATATGGTGGTAGCCTGATTCATTCACAACCCTTAGATATGGAAAATAATAATCTAACGATGGTTGAAGATACAAATAAATTTGTGAATTTCACACCAACATATATTCGTGCACCGTCGCTGAATACACCTTCACCGAATCTCAATCGTGATGTAGCAAATAATTATGGGTATTCTCCACAAACTGCTATTCATTACATTGGACAGGGTGAAATTCATTCATTTCCTCAGTATTTAATCCGAGTTCAGCATCCACATGTCATATATGATGACGTGGCTGCAGGGACATCAAGTGTAGTTGGATCATTGGGTCATAGTCCAAATGGAAGTATCTTAGATGCTACTAATCTTCAAGGTCATTTAGCTCACTTTTCAAATATTAATGCATCTAAACAAAATAACATATCACAACCAGTCAATTCCAGTTTCTCTAATATGGTAAATCTATCCTCAGATCCTCCAGTCCAAAGTCATTACATATCTCTTCAACCCTCAGTAAATTCTAAGCCAGTAGATGACAAGGTTACAACTTCAACTGTTTTATCTATTTCCACACCAGGATCTGCTATAATCCCCTCCAATTCCATGACAGAAAATTTAGTTCACTCAAGACAGACAACAATAACAAACAGTTTACATGATGAAGAAACAATAAAAGATGCACAACAATATTCAATGACACAAATGGAAAGTTTATTAGACAGTAAAAAATCAAGTACCAATGCAACCATCACATCTTCCCCGTTGGTTAGCCTACCTTCAACAAGTATGAGAACAAAAGAAAGCAATTCCCTTGTATCTGATAGTATTTCATAGAAAAATAAAAAGATCTCACTTTCTAATAAGAAGTTGCTGTACAATATAAATCGATGTATTACATAGCTTGAAGGCGTGAATAGCACAGGAATGTATAGCAGTTATCACTCGCATCTATGTTACTATAACTTTTACTGATTTTGACGTTGTTACGATGACTGTCATTCTTACTGTAACTTAGTTTTTTGTCACTTCATTTCCAGTAGACTATCTTTTTATATATACCAGTGGTTAGATAAAATTACTTTGAGCAAGTATTACTTCTTTATTATACCGTAATTCTGGTTGTCGAACTTACTGTTAACTTGTACTGAACGTATGCTTGAACAATCAAAATGAAAGTATGCTTGTATATGTGAGGTATTCCAGTTTAGATATTTTTGTCACAGGTAAATGGTACATTTCCTTACTTTAATAAAATCATGATAAGATCATAACTCTAACTGTTAAAAGTACAACTGATAGTGGATTTGTGTTTCACTTGTGAATAAACACTTTTATGAATAAACATTTTATACAGAAAAATATATAGAAAAAAAATAAATAATTACCCTGTAGCAGTAACGAGGGAACTACTGTACCTTAATATGGGAGTAAAACTTCAGCTTTGTGGGTAGGTTGTAATTACTTTTTAGCTTAATTTGAGGGGTTTGTGGGGATTTACTAACATTCAAGTTAGTATTCATCATGGATTGATATCGATTAAAAGAAACATTAGAAACACAGTAAAGTTGTTTCATCCTTGCGTATTATTCGTCAGCAGTGCGCACCCATGACCTCACTTCGCCAGGTATCGAACCCAGGGGCTTCAGGTTCCATGGCCAGTACATTACCACTGAGCCAATCGGTCGGAATCCACTGGTCCATATTTTTTACTTCTGTTAGTTCCTGAAGTTTAAATGAGAGGTCGTGGCAGATGGAGTAAACCTGATGGACGTGAGGGCAAATACTCGAAGATGACATTGGGTGATGATCGCACTATGTTGTGAACTGACAGAAGATGGAAATATCGACCAGTAGATTCTAACCAGTGGCTCAATGGTAATGTACTGGCCACGGGACCTGAAGGTTTTGGGCTCGATCCCCGGTGGGGTGAGGTCATGGGTTAACCCTGCTGAAGAGTCCCATACTAGAACAAAACAGCCTTTCAGTGCTCCCAGGTTTGTAGTGTTGCTTTTACTGATCTCAGTACATGATAAAATGCCAGCATTTCAGTTTGTCTATTAGATGTATCACATAGTGAAACAGTATTTATTTACTGGATCACGTTTCCGACACAGTTTATTGTCCATATTCATAACAGGTGATAACAATATGGACGATAAGATGGGAGTACTGTACCTGTTAGCTAATGATGTAGACAGTTTTTATCTTTCATTTTTTACCCAAAGAAAACCGGAAAGGCACCATGTAAGAGTTCTGTGCATTCGAAGTATCTAGTAGCTTCTACACGGGTATGCTTCAGTATAACATCCGACAACTATTCAGTATTCACTTGAATAAAGATTGTTGTGTGCGTTACACTACTAGTAGTAGTCAGGATGAATAAAATCGAGTCTAGTACTCATTAGTGACTTGTTTCGGGACGAGATTCCTGAACTTCTAATAAGAAGTCTTAACCGGTGGGGAAAACCAAGTCATATGTAAAGACAACTAATCAACGACGGCTTTGGTGGGGAGTCACGCTATATTGCGAACTAGTAGAAGTAGGAAAGTACGAACCATTGGATTTCAATTCAATGGCTCAATGGAAGCGTGCTAGCTGCAATCTTTGATGAAGTCATCTTTGCGCCCTACGGAGAAGTCCAATACCACAGTAAAACAGTTATCCGGTACTTCCATCCTTCTAATGGTTCTCCAATTGATAACAGTTCGCCATGAATACCAATTCATCATCAATAAATCTCCAAATCATACAAGAACAACTGAATTCGTATTATATATCAATGATTTAGCAGATCTCATCAAGAATAAAGTATAGTAAGCTTCGAAAAATATTACAATAGGTGTAGGTTAAACATTTCTGAGCATTCTACCATCCGGTTATATGAAGATTCAGTACAGAAAACTAAGCTGAGAAACCAAAATGACGCTAAAATCCCGATAAGTGTTATCAATAGTGACCGTGAAACTTAGTTGAGCTGAATGAAGTTCATTTAGTTTACCTATCTTAATACCCAGAGGAGTAATAATATTTACTTTAGTCCAAGTAAAGCGAAGTTTCTAATTAATTCTGAATATAACGGGAGCATTATCTTAGCTAGTTGGGTTATACAAACATGATGATGAGAAATGAGAGAAATTGTGAACATAAATGAGCTGCGATGACAGATAAAAGCAGTACTAGACGAGAGATCTTCTAAAGTAAGAAGTTAACAAAGTTGTATCAGTGATGATATCAACTCTTGACCTCTGACCTCCAGCATCTGACAAGTTGATGACACCAGCTGATGGGCGTACAAAAATGCCACCAATAGGAAGATTTTTCCCGTATATCATTTATAATTCAGCTAACCATTGTTCCTCCAACTGATGTCAGTCTACGATGAATACCAACTTGAAATATCTCTAAATTCCCACAAACCCCAGAGTTCAACTGAACTAGTGCTCATTGATGACTAGCTTCGAGAAGTGATTCCCGAAGTTTTAGCGAGAAGTCGTGACCAATGGATCAAAACCTTATGGCCGTGAGGTCAAATACTCAACGACGACATTGTGTGGCAGTCACGCTATGTCGTGAACTGACAGAAGTTGGAAATATGGACTAGTCGATTCCGATCAAGTGGCTCAATGGTAATGTGCTGGCCACGGAACCTGGCCACAGGTTCGACCCCTGGCGGTGTCGTGGGTGCGTAGTGCTGAGGAGTCCCATACTAGAACAAAACAGCCTTCCAGTGCTCCCAGGTTTCCATTGTTCCGCCAATTGATGACAGTCAACGACGAATACCAACTTGAAAATGAATTCTGCATGAATAACTTAGAAGAGTCTGAACAAAGTCTGACATAAAGTGAAACAAAGAGAGTGGTATATGCATATTTATATAACTTGAATTGTTAGAAATCAGTCTCTGTTAAAAGACCAGCAATTATATCTGAATGTTTTCCAGCTCAATTATAGTAGTCGTAATTTAATTGGTTGGAGGTAATAGGCAGGAATCTCTGCTTCCCCTACGTTTCGTGATCGTTGTCACCCAGCAGCAAGGCCTATTTACAACCTTGAGGGAACTCATTCCCTCCCCCCTCGCCTGAGATTCAAACCCGCGTCACCCAGTGTTGTAGCCATTGGTGTTACCGATGAGCACCATGATGGGGTACCTCTTAGCTTGATAGCCACATTACAAAATTGATCGACAGGATTTTGAATTCAACACTCAGAAATACACAACATGGGATAGGTTACTCTCCAGTGACGCGTCAATGTATAATACTCATATCTTATAGATGGTATATGCTTTCTAAAGGAATGTAAGCGTAGAATTTGATTACTATGGCAGAGTATAATTCCGTATATTTGATAATTTTATTTGACATGGGAAATACAAGAAAAGTATCACTTAGTGGTTGACAATCTATCGCACGCAATTACATCAACATGACCACGCAACTTTGTGGTTTGATTTATTACAGCTCCACTAATTCCATTTGTTTATTTCTAATGGGAGCGACTGTCCATTTACCCAATTTTTTAAGTATACTATTGATAAGATTAGTTTCAACTAGAGCAAATGTATATGAGATGAAAATCTTGAATATAGGACTTGGTTTTGCTTAACTAATCTTGGCACTCAATAGTATAATTTAAAGAACACCGAAGTAGGGAAAAGCACCATCCAGTACACCTTGGTTGTACAGGAAGTTGGATTCATCATACATATTAAATCTTTCTATCTAAAACAAAGTATTGGATCTTCGACAAATTACTGCAACCCAATGTAGATATTAAATAACTGTCAGTAAAAGTTTCTAGAAGCTGATTCTACTCATGAGTAGTCACACTCTCTTATATAAATTTACGGATATTGGTCAAATTAACTATTGAAACTACTTTTCTTCAAACCTCTTTTTACAATAGTAGTTTAGGAATTGTCCTTACGCTAACTTGACAGACCCGGGTGCCAACCATCTATTCTGAGTACTTCTAGAATACTCACGAATGCGAAACCAAGAAAGAATACAATAGGGTAGCCAGGTAGGAATTGTATATTTGATAGACCGTGTTGAAATATCTATGTGTTTCGACTAACTGGCTGGAGGATGGCGTACGAGCAACGCAGTGTAACACGAAAACGTGTCAAATGGAGAGGATACTTGACCATTTACCTTCAGATTATCCAGTTCTACAGTTCTGACAAATTATTTTTCTCCTTCATACTGGACTGCTTTATATCACTAGGATCTCTCAGTAGAGAAGCTGAAAAGGATGGAGTCAATAGTCAGTAATGACTGCAGGATTCTAACCAGAGACCACTGGGTTTCCGGCCCAGTACTCTACCAACTAAGCTATGAGGTTCGACTCCTCATCAGATTTTTATTTCACTTCAGTCACCATGGGTTTTGTCCGACTATCATGTGAATTCGTGACACATTACTATCGCTTTAGTCGTCAGTTTTTAACTGAAGACGTTACGAATGGAAATTTTTTGTCCCGCTTTATGTAATGCAGTAAAAACATTTTGAGATTGTACATTATATATAACCTAACTGCCAAGTTTTCAGTTGCGGCTCCTTAGTTTAAGGTGATGACTTTAAACCAATTGGTTACAGGCTAGAAAACCGCTCCACCTGCCCAGGTTTGGGTAGCCAGGTAGCGACTCGTTGTCTACTCCACGAATGTGTGCAAGGCTGCAGAGTGCATTTTGACTTACTTTTTTCAATCTGATTGCTAAACAGTGAACTGATAGTGAAAATTCTTATATTTCACTTTTTTTCACTCTACGTATTGCTATAATAAACATACTGTCTAACAAATATTGACACTGAAAATATCAGGATTTCAGGGTCAATTATCATCACGGTATCTAACACCATAACTACTTTTCTAGGATTTCACAACCAAATAGAATTATGTAAAAATTGAATAATTTCTTAACAAAGGCTGAATGTTTATAGATCCTCTGATAGTAAAAGAGCTCACTGCGAGGTACTATAGTTAAAGACTTAAACTAGGGACTGAAACGACTAGTTTTTATGGACATTGTGAATTTGCTTGAAGTGCTAAACTGAAGGTGCATGAAAATTTCACGTAACCACTTAGTAAATGACTGCTGAAGGGAGTAACAGTTTTCAGTAAGTAACAAAGTAATAGAAACCGAAGTATGAAGTACTTAGTTTACGAGAACCGAGAAATGAATACAAGAATTTAAATAGACAGCCTCAAACCTTTTCCATATCATAGCATAAGAAAGCATATAAGGGAAACCCATCGGAATCTATAGATAAGAATTTAAAGCCTAAAAGCGCCACAGTACGCGTCCATACTGGTCCGAAAAATATTTTACTACTGAACCGCAAATTTAAGAT